AGCTGAATAATCCTCCGCGTTTAGCAGAAACGGCAAAAGACGTGTATCTCTGCCTGATTACCGCGCTCATCAAGATCAATGCTCGTCTCGCCTGTTAAGCTAGTTAAGCCATCTAAAGTGAAAACCAAGATATCCGTCAGACACACGCGAGCCTCGAAGCCTTCCGCGTTCTTGGATCTTCGATCGTCTAGCTGGTATACCTCTAGGTAGATCTAGACAGAGAGACTTTCGCACGACGAAGACAGCCGCTTACCGGTTTGCCCGATTCGTTAATCCAAACATATATGTACGTCGAAAAATTCCGTCTACTTTTCCCTCGTGTTTCTCGAACGCTCGAACACCGAGTAAAATTTACCTTCATCGAATTACATGTTACAAACAGCCATGGAAAGGAAGATAAAGCTGCAGCTGGCTATACGGATAGCCGCGTATACGTTTCTCACGACGACAACGAGCGATGATGGAATGCGCGGTTTCCATCCCAGGCCATCGCACAGATATCCCTTCTTCCTGTTTTCACCCGGCCATTTCCCTTCACCGTCGAATCGAAATACATCGTTGCGCCACACAACGGGATAGGAAACTTGCGAGAGATATCGACCGGGGTTGCAAACGACAAAGGAACGTTCGCGAATCCGGGAATGGGAAAGGAAACGCATGCATCCAGTAAACGTGCTTCTCAGAAGAGAGAGTTTCTTTCCTTTTTTTTTTTTTTTTTTTTTTTTATAGAAAGGAAACTATTATTTTTCTTCTTTTAAATAATTGTACGTGAAATTTAAAAATTTCTTCTACTGGCCAGAAGCAAAGTGACATCAAAGGGATTGAAATTTTAAGTACGCCTTTCTTAACTGTCTCTGTGCAAGTCCGTAACACGCATTCGTGTAGACCTGACCTGACCTACATGTTTTCTTTTCTGTGAGTATATCCGGCAAAGGAGAGCGTAGATCACTCGTGAAAAACCGGATAAAACACGTGTCTCTCGTTCAGACCAGTCGATCTTTGGACGAACTCGATTCTTCTTCTTCTTCTTCGTCTTCTCAAGAGACTATTGTTTCTCACAATTGCGAATCGTTTCCACCTGTTGATCAGCTAGCTTAAGAAACGTATTTTCACAATTTCTGAAGAACTGAATGCAACTGTGAAGAAAGACGCAATCGTTTATTAAAAATGGCCCCTCTCTCGGTCGACGGGATCTCTAAATGAATTTTCTACTTTATTGATACGCCACCACGAGTCTCGATTATCGTTCCGTGGTTAAGCGAAGGAAATGATTTTCGTATTATTGCCGGTTTACCGAATCAGGTCTTCGTATCGATAGTCGAAGTATTGTTACATACTCCGCAAACTGTGAATATAGCTCGAGCTCGAATCTTCGATTTTAAAAGCACTGATTCCCCGACAAAAGACAGAAAATAAACGGATTACCGATTTATTGAACCGAGTCATTGCCCCTCTCCTTCGTATATCTGGCACTCTAATAACTTGCAGCGCTTATCACGCTACTTTACAACAAAAGTCATCTGCAGCCATGACTCTCCATTGGATAAAATAAAAATCGAACAGACCATCAGTTCGATGAAACTTAATGTCTAAACATGGATCGGTTTTTCGACTCGTGCAGATATTTCGTTTATTTACGGAATTTAAACAGTATAATAAAAATAAAATGAAATATTCTCCGACATAAAAAATAATAATTCCATGCTCGTGACAACAATCTGGCGAGGTCCTCCCATTGAACGAAGCAAAGTCTGGAAAAAAAAACGGCGAAAAAGAGGATTTCTTGATATTACGATTTCATTTCACTACACGTTCATCAGAGAGGCAGGATATTTACTTGGCCGCAGACATTTACTTAACTATCACAACAGTCAAAATGACTGGTTTTACAATTTTATTTTAAAATTTCTATTTCATGTTACACTTCTTTTCCCCACAATTGATGTAGCGACTTTTGCAGTGACGACTAAAGAAATGATATAATGGATTTTATTTTACTTTTATTTATTAGAAATGAAAATAATTTTGTATCATGGCTACTTATACCAAT